GCAGGAGGGTTTTGCAACAGAATTGCCTTGGAGTCAGGACTTAGGTAAGAAGATTAAGCCCGTGTTTAATCTGATGTTTCATTCTGTGAAGTCACCTACAGAGAGACATCAAACATTTACATAAACCAGTGCTTTTGATTCTTGGCCTGTGGCCTGCACCACTCACTTTGGGCTGGATGAGCTCTGGGGATGCATAAAAACCTCCCATTGCTCCCTCCTCCCACCACCATGTATAGATAGATGGACAGGAAAACCTTTCCCAGCTCCGATTATCCTCTTGTTTCAAAGCCTGAAACTCCTTCAGCCACATCATGTTCCTGTCAGAGCCTGAAGACTAACAGGCTTGAGAAAGGCCAAGGGTTGAGCGGAGTCACTCAGAGAATGGCATGTATCTGGGTTGCTGAATTTTTAGGTGTTGCTCTGAGATTGAATTAAGTAAATTCTCAGGGAGTTTTGGTCCTCTTGATTTCTAATTTTAGTGATTGAGTTACAGCCGTAGAAATATCATGAGTTGCTAATTAAAAAAATAATTTTCTTTGTATAAGTAATTCTCACTGATTGTAGACATTTGGAAAAATATCAAAAGCCATAATGCTGAAAATTACCCATAATTCTAGTATTCAGAGATAATCACTTACAAAACATTTTGTTATATTTGCATGCATTTTTATATGCATAATTAAGATCATTGTGTATAAATTTTGATTTCTACTTTCCCCATTTAACATATGAATATTTTCTCTTGCATTGAGAGCAATACAGTGTAGGAGCTTGTATTAATTTCCTGTGGCTGCTGTAATAAATTTCCACAAACTGGGTGGCTTAAAACAACAGAAGTCTATTCTCTCACAGTTCTGAAAGGCCAAAGTCTGAATCAAGGTAGAGGCAGGACTGTGCTCCTTCTGGAGGCTCTAAGGGACAATCCATTCCTTGCCCCTCTCAGCTTCTGGTGACTGCTGGCATTCCTTGGAGTGTGGCCCCATCTCTCTAATATCTGCCTCTGTTTTCACGTGCCTTTCTTGTGTGTATGCCTGTGTGTGTGTGAAATCTTCCTCTGCCTGTATTATGAAGACACTGTGGTGGCATCTAGGGCCCACCCAGAAAATCAAGGATATCTCTTCATCTTAAGATTCTTATCTTAATCACATCTCCCCAGATCCTGTAACATTTTCAGGTTCCAGAATTAGGGTCTGATATCTTTGTGGCTATTATTCAGCCTAGTGTAGGGTTTAAGAACTTGGACTTTAGAACCAGACGAGGTGGGCTCAAATCTCAGTGCTGTCTTTTAGTAGCAGAATGGCCTTGGGAGAGCGTCATAACTCTTGGCGCCTCCATTTTCTGATCCGTAAAGTGGGAATAATAACAATACCTACCTCTTTGAGTTGATATAGGGATTGAGGGTTAATAGCATATAAAGCACCTAAGAAACTTAGCATAGTGCCTGACCCATGTAAGGATTAGCTGTTACTATTTATAGTTGTTATTTTAATGAAAAATTCTTTGTAAAATGTTATTTTCATAGCTGCATAAAACCGTATGAATCTACCATAATTTATCTAATCATCCCCTTTTCTTGGCTATTAAATTTATTTCCAGGTTTTGTTTTTTTTTAAATCTCACATAGAACACTACCATGGATACCTTTGAGTGCTCAGTTTTGTCCCCATTTCAGGTTGTTTCCTAGTGAAGTTCTGAAGATGGATTTACAATGTCAGAGGGGTGTACAATTTTAAGCTGCTAGTTAGGGTTTGCCGAGTTGTTTTCCAGAAAGATTGTGCCTATTTTACTCCTACCAGTAGTTGAGTGGTAGAGTGTCCCTTTTACTGTGGCTATACCTATATCAAGTGTTATCATTTTAAACATTCTCAGGTATTTTGGTATGGTCTGCCTTTTAAGGCTAAAATATAACAGCAAAGGAACTCAACACAGTGGTTCCTTTAGCAAGGACTTTAGTTCGTGCCAGGCAAGACAACTTCTAATGAGAAATTAAATCCTTGCTTTGTCAAGTCTCCAAGCGTTGTTTCCGTTCTGTTATGAAGCCTGGAAACTTCCTGAATGTTCTTGAGGGTACAGGGAGTGGTGTTGGGGGAGAGGATATGTTAGTAGCCCGTACTAGGGCAGTGCTAGGTACACAAGGATTTTAATTAAAAAGTTTTGTGTCTGTTTTCAGATTTGGACATTGAAAGCTCTGAGCATTTTATGGGATGAGGGAGGCATACTTGTACAGAAAACAGATCATTTTAACTACTTTACAACTGAAGTCTTGTGACGGACAGGAATAGGGGTGGGGAGGGGACAGGTGCACTGCCTGCCAGATAAGGCGAGAGGCCAGCTCTGGGCAGGGCTGAGGGCACAGTCTGCACCTGCTTTTTGCACCCCTATCATCTGTTAGCCTCCTCTCCTTTCTTGCCCATTGCAGTGTGGTCTTGCCCAGCCCTGGCCTCTGGGCTATAGAGTAAGAGCAGGCTCCTAGCTGAGTGAAAGATGGGGTATTTTTTCGTCAGTGTGAATTGGTATGAATGTACACCAGGTAAAACTAGTCACACACAAGTTTCAACAATATCCAAACCAGCTGTAGTGGACTAAATGGTAGCCCCAAAGATGTATCCAAATAGTGTTGCCTTATTTGGAAAAAGGGTCTTTGTAGATATAATTAAGATAAAGATTTTGAGGTGAGATCTGCTTGGATTTCCAGATGGGCCTCAATGCCATCACAAGTGTTCTCATAAGAGAGAGGAAGATCACACACACTCTTTCTCACACTCTCACACTGCTGGGAAGTGGAGGAGTGATGTGGCCACCAGCCCAGAAATATCAACAGCCACCAGAAGCTGGAAAAGGCAAGGAAAAGGCTCTCCCCAGAGCCTCTGAAGGGAGTGTGGCCCTGCTGACACCTTGATTTTGGGCTTCTGGCCCCAGAACTGTGAGAGAATACATTTATATTGTTTTACACCACCCAGTTTGTGGTAATTTATTACGGCAGCTGCAGGGACCACATATACCAGTCTGTGCTCCATTTAATAAGACAGTTCCACTGATCATGTACTTGGCTATGTAGCAATGTCATGTGCTATAAAGGCTTCAAAGGCTCTCAGTTTCTGTACTTACCTTGGCATGAACCAGTGTCAGAGTTGGTTGATGGCACCAGTTTGTAGACCACCCTTTGAGTACCACTGATCTCTCTTGTTTTATGAATGAGGAAACTGAGGCCCAGAGAGGAAGTGGTAGAGCTGAGATTGGAGCACAGGTGCCTCCACTGTTGGGAATGAATAGTCAGGATGTGGCACCAGCCTCCTGGGGCCAGGTCTAGGGTGTGCAGACAGGAGAGTTGCCCTTCAGCCTGTTCTGCACACACAGCTGGTGTACCCTGCTGAGTCAAAGTTGATGCTTCAGTGATCCCCTGGAGCACTGACCTGCTTAAAAGGCCCAGAAACCAAGGGAAACTTGAAAAGCTTTTGCTGCAGCCAGTGAGCCAACAGCAGCAGGCAAAGGAGCCTGTCAAGGGTAAAGGTCACTGCTTGCTGTCCACTTAATTTTCATCTGACTGCTTCAGTCCTTGTAGTTTGGGTGTTATTTTCCATCTGTAGCCCAATTTTAACTTTCTGCATTTTCTGAATGGTAATTATCTCTTAGAAAATATGGGATTAGACTACAGTCATCTTGACTTTATTCAAGAGTTGCTTGAATAAAGTCCACCCAACTGCACTTGGTATTCAGAACCCCCTGAAGAACCTCCTCCTTTCCAGCCCTGCCTCCCACCCCTCCCTTTCGCACACCTTAATCTCTGAACTTGACCCACATCATTGCTTCAGTAGAGGAAGGGACCAGAAGAGGTTAGATTCTTGAAGCCCGATAGGTCGGTTCGTAGTTGACCAATCAAGTATCAGTGGAAACATATGGCAGGGAGATAAGTCTTTGAAGATCTCAGGAAGGAAATGTTCACATTTACTGAAATAAAGGCAACACCAACAGTTAGTACCAGACACTAGCAAATGGCCTACCATTGAGCTCAGTTGAACCACCAGCTGGCTGTAGCCAGGTAAGACAAGAAGAAAAACCAACCGGCTGAGCCCAGCACTAATTGCTGACCCACTAAACCATGAGCAAATAAAACATCATTGTTTAAGTGAAAAAAACACAAGGTACCACAATAAACCAAGGCTTTGAGTTACTACGTTCTCATTTCAGTAACGATAGGCATTGTGTAGTTGCACAATTATCCCTTGCTTGCTCTGGGCACCTTTCAGTCTCTCACATTTGTATTCAGTGAAATTCTTACTTGTTTTGTTATGGACAATGCCCATATTACAAGCTCCTTTTCTCCAGCATCTGGACTTTCATCTTAATATCAAACACCACTGGGATTTTATGAATTATTTATTGAGTCCATTCTCTGGGTTTCACACCTCTCTCTCTCCTTTTCCTCTCAGATATTATGGGACAGTAGTTCAGAGGCCCAGGTCACTTTCTCTCATCTTTTATTTTTTCCAAGGTTAGTTTCAGCAGCCTTTCTTCATCCTATACTTTTGTTTTTCTAGTCTCAACCCTGGATCTCTTATTTTTAAATCAGTGATTTTTGGTTGCAGGGGCCAGACATGCCCTCATGCCGGCTCAAGTTAGTAGAGGGTTTGTTGTAGGAATCTCTGGAATTGCAGGGAGCAAAGCTTGACCTGCCTGCTGGGAACTGGAGCAGGAAGGCCCCTCTAACTCGGCGGCACTGTCCCGCTCACGTCGTGTGTGTGTGTGGGTGGGTGGTTTTTCTCTGGATCAGGGCTCACCACTGCCTGCCTAAGTTTGCAAGTCTTTATTCTCAAATGAGGGAAGGAGGGAGGGGACAGTGTGGCTGATGGTAGTGGTAAGTGTCCATCCCCAAGTCAGTCAGTTGGGGGAGAGGAGCCCTGTGACTGCCCTCTCAGCATGGATTTGGGGGATGTCCCAAAAAAGGGGTTTGTGGTGAGATATCCCCCAAACTTACACCTCTTCTGTGTTATTCTCAACAGGAATAATTCAGGTCACCTCTACTAGAAATCGGTTTGCTGGAACAATTGAAACAGCAGTTCTTGAAGTGGAAGAAAAGGTAAGTAGAAGTAAATTCATATATACTAACCTCTTATAAGGAAAGCCCTTGCGTGGGGAGGGATTGCTATCCCTGTCATTCCTTAGAAACTCCTAGTTGTGTGTGTAACACTTCACCCCTCCTCTCTGCCCGGCACGTTCCTCTTCATCACTCAGGGCCTTCATCAAATACTACCTCCCTGGAGATGAAGCCTTTTCGGTTCCCTCCTACTGGCAGTGATTTCTCCTGCTTTTGAAACCCCATAATACTGTCTCCTTCCTACCGACGTGTTGTATGGGCTTCATGTTTTCATTTGTGCCCCTCCTCTTGGCTGCTCTTCTCCTGTGGCTGTGTTGAGTGTGGGGGCTCCTCCTCTGTGACCACCCCATCCTGGCATTTCCACATTTGATTATAGCTGCCCGTTTGTGTGTTTTCCCAGTAAAGCTCCTCAAGGGCAGACCTGAATTAAGCCTGGGACATAGTAGCTGCTCCATAAATGTTTATTGAGTAAACAGTGAATCAGCCTCTCTACTACACTGTCAGCTCCTGTGTGGGCTCCCTTTGTACCTCCACCTCTCTACTCAGTCTCATGTTGGTTCTGTTTTTTGAGCATTCATCAGAAATTGCTAATCTTCTCTAGTTGTCCTTTGTGTTTTGAGTGTTGCTGAAATGAAGCTAATAGCAAGGCTTTTGTATCTGATTTTTCTTTTTCATGGGCAATTTGGGGCCATGTTAAGAGCAATAATCCAGAAGCTGGAAGGGAAGGAAGGTGACAGGCAGGTCAGGAAACCAGTGACCGAGGGAGTATGGTTCCCAGCCTGCCTCCACCGCCCTGTGGCTGGTGCTGAATGGGGTTACACGAGGCTGGGGTTTGGTCGTGCTGTGGTTGTGGCCTCTCCTGTCTGCTGGCATCCATCTGTTCTTCTAAGCTGCTTCAATTAATGGACAATTGCATTTTAACCCACCTCTTTGCCCTAAACCTTTTTGCTTAAATGAATGAGTCAGCAGTTTCCTAATTTCAGACTGTTTACTGTACTTATAAAGTATCCCAAAGACATTCCTTACTAATTCTACCAACTTTCTTGTTCACCGCCTTCTTAAAGGACTTGTCCCAGCCTTTCCTACCTAACAGTAGCCAGCAGTCGTCTCTTATAGCTGTGGAGTCCTTCCCTTTCACAGGGTGCTTCTGTACACATCACCAGGTCTTCTCCTGCCAGCCCGAGCCAACAGGCAGGGGCGAATGCTCACTTCTCGCTTTCAGGCAGGAAGCAGACTCAGCAGCTTGATATCTTGCATGAGGTCATGTTGTTAATGTGAGTGGTGTTGGGTTTGTCTCTTCCCTGCACCATCTTGGTCCTTCCCCTTGGAAGCCATTGCTGCCATCACAAAACCTGGGGACTCTGCCTATTACCTGTCTCTTACTCACCCCCAGTGTTCCTTTGGGATAGGGGAGCCTTGATCTTTTGTTGGAAGATGCAGGCTGACCCTGGTGTCTCCCCCGCCTCCATCCAGGCTGCTTTCTTGACAAAGTAGATATCAGTAGATGTCTTCTTCCCAGGACCTTCCAGTCAGTCTTGTAAGTTTTGTTTTTGTTAGGGCTTATTTAAATACAGGAAATTTAATTAATTTACATTAATGCTGCCCTGCCTTACTCCATGAGTAAACTGCAAGACACTGACGGGTTTGATCTGCTTAATCTGGCTGTATCTAATGATGTTCTTTCCCTCCCTTCTTCTTTCAATACTGTAAATGGTTCCATCAATCAAGGTGGCAGTACCGTGCTCTGTTGCCATGTGGGATTGTTTAGTTAAGTGCGATTTTTAAAAAATGGCTCAGCTTTTAATTAGAAAGCAGATTGTCGAATGACATTTTGGTTTGTCCTCTGATGGGGGAATTGGAAAATAGACTCATCATGATAGGAAACCAGGTTCTAGTACAGAAGGAGGCGTATTACCCCAAGAGCAGCATGGGATTTCATTGAGTCATTGTTTTCCTAAAATAGGCCGTCTTCTGTGGTCTTTTTGTCGAGAGAGACCTTCCTCTACATCTGAGCAACCTTAGATTAACATTTTCCTATGGGAGACTCTAACTTGGAACCCCCAAACAGGGTGGTACTTGAAGTGGTGTACCTATCGGGGCGCAAGACTAGATACCAAGAGCCTTCTACTTGATACTTGAAAACATCACTATCAAGAAGTCAGCAGACCTGTTATGATGCTTGTAATTGAAGAGAATAGGCTACATTATTTACTTCCCACTGTGGTGTGATGCAAATGCCATTTTACTGTGAAAAGTTACTGTTTTTTTAGCCCCAAAGCTGGTGTCTGCATTACTTCTGAGGGTCATCATAGAGGCAGCCTGCATGTGTCCTGACCAGGTTTGGCCCCATAAGCTCCTCATGTGTACCCCACCTTAGCTGGCGCAGGAGGTGGATGTTGGAGCACCCTGAGAGGAGGTCAGGAAGGGTCACCATTAGGAATGGCTCCAAGCATCCACCACTGCACATGTCCCCTCTGTACTTTGTAGCACTTTTATACCTTTTATAGCAGTTAGCAAACATATATATCTCATGGGCACCTCTAGCTTAATGAGTCCAAATATTAACCCTCCTACTATAGCCCCTTTCCAGACCTGCCTTCCCCTAGCTTATTAAGGTGCACAGTTGTTAACTTGCGTTTTCAATCCAGAAACTGCGGAGTCACTCACTGTTCTCTTCTTCCAAATTACCACGTTCTAGCCGTGCTTCTTGAATTCATCTGCTGCCCTCCACATCTACCTCCCAAGTGCAAGGACACTGTCGTTTGCTCGGTTACTACAAAGGCTTCTCAACTGGCTGCCCCGCTTCCACTTTCCCTCCATTCTGTTCATCACATTGGACCTGGCGAGATCTATAAAAATACATGTATCATTTCACTTCCTTTGTTAAGCCTGTTAGTGGCCACCTCCTGCACTTGGATGAGTCCCATACTCCCAGCATAGTGCACCTCCAGAGAGACTGCACCGTCTGGGCCTCAGACCTGGCTCGAGATCCCACAGCATTGTTGGCATCACGTCGAAGTGGCCTGTAAGACCGTTCTCCCTTTCACTGTTGCTTCCTTGGCAGATGGCAATGGCTTTGATTTTCCAAATGCAGTAGAATAACTGTCTGGTTCACAAAGGTATACTTAGAATGGATATTACGTCCTGGGAAATGGTACAAGGGATGATTTCTTCCTCCACACCCCAGAATCTCAGCTCTTACAACACAGAGGTGGGCTGCTGTTTCATTTGGAACATGAATAAGTAAACAACCGGTATGTAATCAACTAAAATTATAATACCCTTGCTGCTTTCCACTTTGCTACTTTTATATTTTGATATAAAAATGTGTGCAACATTTTACCTTAGGAAATCATGAATAAAACTTGGTTCCAAGCTAGTAGAAGAAAAGACTGACTTTCAACAGGGGGGGAAAAGAAACACACAACATTGGTGCACAGCTTTCCTTTTTAGACACATATCTGTTATCCTGAAACCTGCTTGCTTTCCTTACCTTAGCCTTGAGCTATACTTTTGCGTGTTTGTTTAAGGAACCATGTACACACACATCTGAAACAGAAATTCTTAGTTGAGCGATACTCTCCAGTCTCCGCAGGCCTTTCATTCAAGGTAATTAATGGGAATACTGAAATTTCAGCTTTATTTTTGGTGCACCATGGCCTCAAACTAAGACAACTTTTCTATGACTTTGAATTTGAAATTTCTTACGGTACCGATTGGGCAGGTCACTCTGATGACTTACAAGCAAAGACTGTAGTGGGAACACCAGGCAAGGTGATCTTAATACAGCATGACACGCGCTGTGGTGGCGTTGGTTACCGGGTATCGGAGCACAGGGGTGAGCCCTCACTTTGGGGACTGGAAAGTCACAAAATGCTTTAGACAGTGTGTGATCTTTTAGATGCGTCTTGAGAGGAGTTTGCCAGGTGGAAGGAGTGACTGGGAGAGTTAGAAACGGGCATTTCAGCTGCATGGACAGAGGCCGGGAGGCCACTAGGAGGAGCATGGCGTGCCCAGATTGCTGCTCGGAGGGCTGCTGTGGCCAGGCCACTGAACGCCTGGGTGGGGTGGGGGCTGCAAGGCGGGCGGGGGCCAGATGGTGCAGTGGAATGCCCTGTGGAATTTTACACTGGGTAGTCATTGGATCAGATTTGTCTTTGATTGCAGGGTTTCTGTAGGCTCGGTCTCTACATCTAAAACTTCTGAATGGCAGGAGAATGGTGATCCCATTCAGACACACAAGTCCTTTTATCAATTTCTATAGGCATGGGACTCAAAATGCCACAGACTTCCACGTTTGAGGCATGACTGCAGGCTACCTAAGGGTAATCATAAAGATATTATTAAAAGTTCCTGCAATATGATTGGTGTTAAATGACTGCCCTGCTGGAGTTTACAGATGACTCTGTTTCATATTTCACCGGGAGTTCAACTACCTTGCCGTGCTCAGTGGTGCGTTTCAGGCTCCTGTGGAGCGTGGACTTACACAGGCTGCTGGGGTTCCTGTAGACCTTGGAAACGGTACTCCAATGCCATCTTGAATTTGTGACAGTTTTTTATCACTAGGGCTCTAGATTTTCAATTATCAATAACTGTTAGCTTGGCTTTCTAATTGTTAGTATGAGTTGGTTGGTGGTTAGTCTGGAAGTGTGAAGTGATGCATATTTACAGCAGGGATGTGTTTTCGCTTAAGAATTTCCAACAACTAAACTTTAAAACGTATACGAGGTTTAAATGAGTCATCCATACCCTTTTGCTAGAGAAGATGTATACGTCTCCCTCATCCACTCCTACAGCGATTCTTCACGATTGTTGCCACATTCTGTTTTGCTGCTAAGGGGAAGCGTGTGGGATGGGCAGGTTGTAGCATCGTTGGCCCTGCTTCCGAGGGCAGTGACTTTAGAAGGATTTAGGAATGTCTGTACTAGTTAGGGCTTGAGAAAGTGGTAAGGCAAGGTGGGGATGCACAGGTTAGGAGGCCA